CAGAACACCACGCTTTCAGCCTCACATCTCATTTATATTCAATCAACATTTTACCTATACCTTCCTCCTCTCTGTCCCATCAGCTTTCACAGGAGCACTTTGTCCTTGTGCTGTACCCCACCATCTGTCTTGACATGTGCAGTGAAGTCTAAACATGTACTGTACATTTGGCCACTCGCAGCAGCGCACGCCCCTCGCTCGGGTCGGTGCGGTGGGCAGCTGGCAGCAGGAGTCCGGCCTGTCGCTCCCTGGTGGCCTCCATTGTAGATGTTCATTTACTCTGACTGGGAGAGTGTGAAGGCTGTGGCTCGCTCCGATACTCTTAAATCCTAGCGTGGAGAGCCGCTGTTAGGCTGAGTGAGTCTGTATGCTGTGCCGCCTGGCTAGTTAGCACTCACCTGAGATATTTCCCAACCTGCTTCTTTCGCAAATCTAAAATGTACCATGTAACTATTGGGGGGTTTTTTGTGTGAAAAAAACTGGAGCCAAGAAAAACAGCTGATTTATAATTCAATAAGCCTGTCCAAATTGAGGCAAATTATCAAGCCGGACAAATTTACCAAGCTTGTACTAGTGAGCAGATTTTTAAATTAAACCCAGGTAGCATGTTTTATTAATCCTTTACATTTTTGTTTATTTATTTAAAGGAGACACAACATGCTAAATCAAGTCTTCAGCTTTTTGTTTTAACCATGTTCCCTTTTTTCTTTTTAATTTACACAGCTGAGTGATTCATGGCAAGGCAAGTTTATTTATATAGCACAATTCATACACAAGGCAATTCAAAGTGCTGAACAAAACAAGAAAGCATTAAAATCATAAATAATCACAGAACATTAAAAAGAAAGATAAAAATATATAATCCCTCAGTTGTATGCACAGCTAAACAGAACTGTCTTTAACCTGGTTTTAAACATTGTCAGAGAGGAGGCCTGTCTCACATCTTCAGGAAGATTGTTCCAGATTTTAGCAGCATGAATCTGAAAAGCAGCCTCCCCATGTTTAGTTCTGACTCTGGGCACTAACAGGAGTCCAGTCCCTGTGCTCCTCAGAGTCCGGGCTGGTTCATATGGGACTAACATGTCACTAATATATTTTGGTGCGAGGCCATGGAGAGACTTGTACACAAGCAGAGCTGTTTTAAAGTCTATTCTCTGAGCCACAGGAAGCCAGTGCAGAGACCTGAGAACTGGACTAATGTGGTCGTACTCCCTGGTTCTTGTCAGGACTCGAGCTGCTGCATTTTGGACATACTGCAGTTGTTTTACAGCCTGTTTGGACAGACCTGTGAGCAGGCCATTGCAGTAGTCTAACCTACTGGCGACAAATGCATGGATAAGAATCTCCAAGTCTGCTTTAGACACTATGTTTTTGATCCTGGCAATGTTTTTTAGATGGTAAAAAGCTGCTGATGTTACTGATTTGATGTGGCTATTAAAATTTAAGTCTGAGTACAGTATTACCCCTAGATTTCTGACCTTGTTTGAAGGTTTTAGGGAGAGAGACTGTAGGTGACAGATGACGCTCTCTCTTTGTTTCTGGGGACCAAAGAATAACTCATGCATGCTTGAGTTATTCAGATTCTACAATTGAGACGGCATGGCTCCCCCTTCACTTCTCTGAACTCTGAGACACAGCCTTCTTTTAATATTTTTGTTTGCCAATTTTCTTTTTCCAAATCTTATTTTAACCTTTATTTAACTAGGAAGTCCCTTGGGATAAAAAACATTTTCATAGAAGATCTGGTGTAACTGTGCAGATGACATGATTTGTCATTTTTGCTCAAAGAGATACATGTAATCGGTCTCTGACTTTGTCTGCGGTGGAGCGAGGTCTTTAATGTGACCTGCTCCATTGATTGTTTCTTTGTGTAAAAGGTCAGTGCACCGAGCGAAACAACAAGACTGATGACAGAAGTGCGCAGTCGTTTTTTTTTAGTTCAATATTAAGATTTCAATTAATATTGAGGAGCGTACGTCATCTGCTTGTCCCATAGAGAGGGTTTTTCTTTGTGTAGAATGTTCCACGTTCATATATATTTCATTTTTAATATATATATATATATATATTTTTTTACAAAATATCCAGATAACCATACATTCTTGGTTACATCGTTTTTATAAAGTTTAGGAGACAGAACAATGTGGCGCTACCTGCATGTTAAAGCCTGACCCACCAGACCTCAGAAGCTAAGCAGGTTATGGATGACATCTGAGAATAGCAGGTGCCACAGTGGGGCGGCTGTGGCTGTAACCTGCCAAAATATGTGGTTGAAGGGGCTGATACAGTTGCCTCGTTTCTGTAAGGTTGCCCCAGGGCAGGTGTGGCTACAGTAGGACGGTGTATGCAGAGTTATTATCTGCATTTGGTAATAGTCCTCCCCTTCGCCATGACTGCTGTCTCTCCTTGTTTATGCACATGTTAATTATTGAGATCAAGAAAAGTTGAGCTCTCCATTTTTCATCTTACACCAGTGGCATGTATCTATTTCTCCAAGTCTTTTGAATGTGAGCAACATGAATAATTAGTGACATAACAAATAACTTGAATCTCCATTTGTTGTGATCCGTGCATAAGGTTGTACAGAAAGAGCATCTTGTGTTTCGTATCTCGAGTGAGCGGAGAGAGAAAGGGGAAATGTCAGAAGAGATAAATAAGAGGGAGAAATGCAGCGCTTTCATAACGACAACACAACAATTACAAGACATCTGTTGTTAGTGTTTGTGTGAGCTCTTATCACAGAGCTGTCATGGAGGGCGCTAGCAGCTGTTCTGTGGAGTAAACACAGAATATTACAGACGGCAAATACACTCAAACTTTTCACTTCTTCTAAGACAGGAGGTGGCAGTGGGGAGTTGAATAAAACATATTTCAAATGTAAGAACAGTGACATGTAAACTAAAACATGTTTTGGAACAGAAAGGCATGCAGCAACTATTTACGGAAATATGTCAAATGTGCTCATATAAAATAAACAATTTCACATCTCACTGTTGCAAGTTTTTGTCTGGCATGTTTTGAGCTGTGACATTCACTGTTATGTTAATGTGATTTTAATATGGCTCATTTGTGTGGAATTTACATGACGGCAAAATGATCGGAGAAAAGAACTGAAATGCACGTAGAAACTTTTCAGAGTGATTAAAGAAGATGCAAGGAATGTAGGAGATAGTGAAGAAAAAGCATGAGCGGAAATAGTAAAACATTTACCATTAATACATATTTAAGGAATGTATATTTTAACAACCAAAGAAAAATGCAAATGGGAAGTTTTTTTTGCTAATATTTCTGCCACTCATATTCAGTTGTTAATACTGTTGCTCATGGGCAGACTGGCCATTTCTGATTGATTACAAGAACAATATTCATTCAAAGTAAAGTACCGTTTTAGATTTGTTTTTAAATGTACAGGTCAGCCACAAGCACAGGAGATGGTAATATTCTAATGAGGTGTGGTTCATGTTGTGTGGGCAAACCTGACTGCTTACATTTGAAAGCTTGAGAGGAGGTCATGAGTTATGTTTCACTTGGCTTTATTGGGACTGCAGGACTGTGTGACTGTTCCCACAGTTTGCTCTGCTGTTGTGCCGTCCCCTTCATTTGTCAGCGGTGTAATGCTGCGTATACAACTACAGTCTGTGCCAACAAACAAGCCCAGAGCTGTAGCTTGTTCAGGAAAAATACAAATTGTTCGGTGGAGCTCTGCTGCTCAGAAGTCATTGTCCTTTGTCACAGGTCCAGTTTTAGTCTGGAACACTCTGACTGTGGAGTCGTATCATAGTTTGGAAGTGGAGGTCAGCTGCACCATTCAGTCCTTGAGGGCAGCTATTTGCAGAAGAGAACTTCAACCCCAAACCTCTCTGATTTAGCACGGCTGTGAGCAGAAATGGGTTTGATTAGCAGGCAGCTGCTCTCGGGTGGAAGGACAAAATATATATTATATTATATTATATTATGTATTCGAATAATCTTCTATACTTACACAGCATAGCGTGCTGATGACATGTCTTTAATAGATTAAAGGAATAGTATGAACTTTTACTGGTTTAATGAAGTCATTATTACAATTACAATCCAAAACTTTGTGGTCAGTGGTCAATGTCAATCCAGCTGGATTTCACTTAATAAACTCGCAACCTAAATGAGAGACTCATGCTATGCTAATTCTGCTTTTTGGCATGAGAAACCGAATATCCATCCATCCATTTTCTACCCCTTAATCCATTTCTGGGTCAGGGGGGTGGCCAGAGATGCCACCCAGTACACATAGCACCAGCCCCTCACTGATCCTCCTGCAGCTGGTGAGTCCACAGGAGGATGGCCGCTCTATGGCACAGCCTTGATCTTTCAGCGGGGGCTTCAGGCCAAGTGTGGTTAAGTATCTTACCCAAGAACACAACGACAGCAGTCATCAGTGGGAGTCATGGTGGGCTCGAACCTATGACCTTCAAGCTCAAAGGCCAATGCTCTACCGAGACACTGTCGCCCACAGAAACAGAATATCAAATAAGAAATAATACACATTATTATATAAAAAAATATGAAACAACTTTCATTTCATGTTGTAGAATTTGAAATGTTATCTCCAGTAGAAAACATATTACGTAATATATAGTATATATAATACTAATTTACATAGATGTCCTGACCACACGTTGATGTAAACTAGCTCTCCTTGTTGGTAATGTTTATTATACACTGTAAAAACAAATCTATTTCTGCATGGGAAAAGGGGACCGTGCAATTTTCTATTATTTTCTTTGACATTACATTTTTAATAGATAGTGACATCCCCCTAAATACCCTTAAGAATACATAAACTTTGACCAGAAAAGTTTGTATATTATTTGCAAATGTTGACCTTGTGTGGATATGTAGACATAATCTACAGATGTAAAACAAAATCTGAAATTGAAATAATGTTGTTAATAATAGTGTTAACATATAAAATCATACCCAAACAAAGGGGATTGACTTGTTGCTTCTCTGTTTCTTTGCAGAGTGTCGGGTGTTGGACAGCCTACTGCGCTACACCTCCATGCCCACCTACCTCCCTGTCAACTATCAACTCCTAAATGCTGAGCAGGCGTTCTTCCTGAAGGAAGCCAACCAGGATTTCATGAGAAACTCCAGCCTCATGTCCCGCACTGAGTCGTTCTTCATATACCAGGCCAGAGGTTTGCCTTCAGTCAATGCCAGTTACGGCCCTCTCTCTGTGGTCCAGCCCATTCCTTTAGATCTGCTGCAGACTCCTGGAACTTTCCCTGCCTCCTCCCTATTCACATTCAACTGGAAGGTACAAACATTCATAATGAACACAAAAATCCATCTTGCCAAGCCAAAAGTGCAGGTTCTTTTTTATATTGCGGGAAGAGATTGGGACGACTACAGCACCATAGACAAGTTGCCCTGTGTGCATATGTTTGCATTCCATGAAACACAAGAAGTCCGGGGAACTTGTCAGCTTAAAGGGGAGTTGGGCCTGTGTGTGGCTGAGCTGGAGCCTCTTGCTAGTTGGTTTAGTCCCCCCAGTGTTGTGCCAGGACGCCAGAAAAACCTTGAGGTTTCTGAAGGCACCCCAGTGGAGCTCTACTACACTCTGCAGTCAGTAGAGAGCGGGGAATGCCACTCAGAGGATGCCAGGAAGGACAGTTTTATCCGTTCGAGCCAAGAAGGGATGTTTGGATCATACACCTCGACGCCCCTGAAGAGGATCGGCGGGTTGAGGCTGTACCAGAACCCGGTGCCCCCGCCCCTAACTGAGCACAGGCTGGATCATAACTTTGTTGTGCAGGTGCCGGCTGCACCCATTAAACAGAGGGAGACAGTCTCAGCCTTTATCAGCGTGACCCCGTACTCATCTGTAGAGATGTTCACACTCAGGTAAGAAATCATAGACCTGCAAAGCTCTCCATTTATTCATAAGTTGCACTCATGTTGTATCACAGCAGCCTATAGTTTAACATTGTTGTGTAGGGAAGTCAGACTGTTAGTTTTAGAGCTAATTTCTCTGTAATATCTGGGACAACACACCCAGTATAATACAATACTGTGAACAATTCCCATTTGAATGTAAAAGCAACATTTTACAGTTGGATATTGTTGGTCCAATGATAATTACTAACATACTGTAGAGTCATGATGTGAACGTCCTTGATTACGTGTTTCTTGAGAAGGCTGAATCCAGTGGTGCTCTAATTGGTGCTAATTACAACTGAGACAGAGTCATTATCTGTCATTAACATTTGAATGCCACTTATATGCTTGGCCTTTTTTATGACAGTTCAGTTGTTCTTAATTGCTGCACTTTACAATAGTTTAAGTTAATTTTATATTATTTAAAAGGTGGGGCAGTGTTTTCATAAATAATACATTGAGTTTGTCCCAACTTACGGAAACAATCTTGCAAATTAAAACATTGTATCTTTTGCATATTAGTTAGAAAGTGTGTCACGGGGGTCCTCTCCTTTTCACTTTTCTCTCCTGAAAAGCTAATGCAAAGATGTGTCAGGGAGTGAAAACTAGTGCTATAGAACCAAGCTTTTTGAGAGCAAGGATTATGTGTGATGTTGAATTCAGACACAAGAATTAATTTTAGCACCTGTATTTTGGGAGGTAAACATCGTATTACTATTGTTTTCATCGTCAAATTAACATTTCCACTCTGTAATTCCCAGACTAGCGCACAAGTCTGCCGTTGCAAACAGTCGAACAATAGCAGAAATGGCCTTGTAAAAGTCAAACACAGCCGCGTTAATTAATTTCACCCAGACAAGTGATCCTAAAGGGTTTGTAAATGCAAACTTCATCAATCAAGCTGTAGATTGGCCGCAGAGTCTGTTGCTGTTTTCATGTGTTATTCTGCGTTTGGCTACGGCGTTAGCTGGGCACAGGTTGGCCATCTGAGAGCTGCAGATATGGAGAGGTTTTCTGTGTGGTCTCTGTGATAAGGCTGTGTGCGTTTGTTAGGCTGCTTAATCAACGGAGCGCGCACTCTTTGATCTTTATATTCACCACATCATCATCATCTGCCCACTGCTCTCTTTGGTGTCGGACATTGTCGCATGTGTTGTGGAGAGGCTTGGCTGAAGCTTGTGAGCCAGAGAGTGTCAGACAGGCCCTCCCCAGGGGCTATTTTTAGGTTTTTGGTTGAGTGTGTTTTTGTGCTAAATACACAGCTCAAATCCAGCCAGTCCAGATGATCCTAATAATGAAATGTGAATGCACGTCTGGCACAATTATTTTAAAATCATTTTGTCCTTAATTTTGACTTATTTGAAGCCTTTTTATTTTTGGAATTGCTATTTTCAGTTTGGAGACCATACATAGAAAAAGTTCTCCCGTAGAAGTAGTCCGATACCTGCTTCTTGCGGAATACAAGGCGACAGTAGCTCAGTTGGTAGAGCATTGGCTTTTGAGCCAGAGGGTCGTGGGTTCGAGCCCGACCTTCACCATCAATTTCCACTTATGTCTGCTGTCGTTGTGTCCTTGGCAAGACACTTAACCTCTGGGAACACCAGCCACAGTGGGGCGGCTGCGGCTGTAAAGTGCCAAACTGCCGTTGTGTCCTTAGGCAAGACACTTTACCCCCATTGCCTGGTTGGTGGTGGTCGGAGGGGCCAATGGCACATACTGGTTGCCTTGCTTCTGTCAGTGTGCCCCAGGGCAGCTGTGTCTACAGTAGTAGTTTATCACTACTGTGTATGGAGTGAATGAATAATGACATCTTTGAGTGTCCAGAAAAGCGCTAAATAAAACAGATGCATTATTATTATACAGTATATGGTTTTTCTTTGCTTAAATTTGACTTGAAACATGTTCATTCCTCACTTTCTTTTGTGGATTTTATTGTGCTTCGGCTCTTTTTAAATGTGCTATTTAAATACATTTGAGAAATACATTTTAGCATTGCCTGAAAAACACAAGATCAATTATTGATTATGTTCAATAATGCAATTCCTGTATTTGTCATACTTTTTTTTGCAAGGCAATGATTGTGATTGTTTTCTTGTCCCATAACCCCCAGCCCTAGACGTTTTACATTTTTAAAGACCAATCCTCTCCCAGCATGCCTCACTCTGAGAATATCTATTCCATGTTATCTTCTGATTTGATTTGACTTCCTGTTTGTTTATCATTTGTGTCACTCAAAGTTTAGTTGACTTTGTTTACTCTCAATTTTTAGGGTTTCATTTTTGAACAGAAACAGAGTAGTGTGTGTATATTGAAGTCCATCATTATAAAATTAAACCATACTAAAATAAGTAAACTACTGCAAATGATTGTTTTGACCTGAGAGGACAGAACATAATATTAATATTACCCGAGAAGACAGAGACTAGATAAGAGTTTATTTATTTCAATCAATCCTCATTTCATCATAATAAGTTAAAAGCTAATAATAACTTAATATATGAGTACAAAAAAGGATGGGAAGTCACATGAACAAAACTGATCAAAGACCTTTTCCTGTCTTACAAGAGATTTTCTGCTGCAAACACCAAGATGCTGAAAAAACATGATCTCCAGTTCAGCACTGGACAGCTCCTCTTGGACATGAGCAGCAAGGATGATGCTCAGCAGGAAATCATGTTTAATGTTGTCTGAATCTTGATCTAATGAGAGTGCTCTCTTAATGTAGCACTTTCACATGTTCATGTGGGATGAACAGGACCTGTGTGGCCTGTCAATAACTTCACAATCAAGAATTTGGAAATGAATCTATTCTGTTTGTTCTAAATTAAAACTGGTTATAGGAATTAAGATAAACAATTTATATTTTATTTAAAAACATGAAAGTTAAATATGAATATTTATATGTACATGTATATATATATATATACCCTCAAGCTCCCAGGCCTCTGGTAGAGGACCCGAGCTTAGAGAGGGATAACCGCCCGCGGAGGGCGAAAGTGTGTGTTTATATATAATATATATATATATATATATTATATATATATATATATATATATATATATATATATATATATAATATATATACACTATATGGTGTCACCATTCATACCTTCTTCATTAAATGTAGTCTTCCAAAGTGTGAATTAAAATAAAGCTTTTATTTCTTGCTCCACTTTCAAGCATCAGCAGAAATCTCTCTTTAACAAGCGTTCACAAACAAGTGTTTTACTTGATGAATGTCTCGGCCATGTCCTGCCTCACAGTCTGTGGATCAGTCGCTGTGAGTAGAAGCCCATGTGAAGACTGGTTTATGACTAGTACATTTTCTTGTTGTACTCTAATTGCCTGGATACTAATTGACTGTTGTGTTTCCCGACGAGTGTGCGTTAAATTGTATGTTTGAAGCAGATGATGTGTGGCTGAGATAAACTCGTTACTGGTGTCATGGGGTTTGTTTAATGACTGCCCCCTGTGGGTGGCATTTTAGCAAACATTTGTTTGCAAACTGATTTCAATAAAACTGTCATGCATCAAAGATCCCACAGTGACAAAGTGAGTGTGTTTGTTTATGGGCAATGCAGCGCTTGGCCTTTATAGACATCTAACAGCACCATGCTACGCTCGCATTAGAATTATCAAAAGTTGTGAAGGCTAGATGGCATTCATTTGTCTTGTCTTTAAAAGGCAGTGCTTCACTGAACAAATTATCTGAGATTACGCTTCATTATGTGCGCTGATGAATGCAAGAAGTCGCAGTAGCCTCAAAAGACAGAGACAGCAGCAGAAACTGTACACGCTCAGTCCATCTTGTGTTGTGATATCATCATACACTGAGGTTTGCAATAAGAATGCTAAAGATATGTTTCTTGTTTATGATGCAAACGTTGTCAGTACCTTTTTGAATGGCTTCTTGTAGTTCACTAATCTAACATATTGAGGAAAATAAAACGTACTATCAATGTTACTAAATGGGTTTTCTGAAATCCAGTTGAACATCAGAGCCACAATAAAGACAAGAACTGCTGTGAGGAGATTGATCAAAACAATGTAATGTATTTTATGGCTTTGCATGTTTTTTACTGTTTGCAGTAAATGGCTTTCAAAAAGATTCGGCTTTCTAATGGCTTGTCAGCACGGCTGTATTTTATTGAATCCATCGCATGTGTCGGTGGTTCATGGTTCATATGCTAATCCATAGCCAATACTGAAGCGACTTTACCGCAGTCTTCTTCTACCACAGCAGCAAAGAGAGAGTCCAAAGCACAAGCTGTTTTGGAGCTGTGCATGAGTTTCAAAACAGGTGAGTGGGTATTGGAGTATTGTTCAGCCTGGTCTCAGACATCAGCAAAGTTCCGGTTGGTGAAGTCCAACACAGTGTCATGGTGTGGACTTTATTTTTGGTTACTTTGGTTACTTTGGTTTTATATGACATCAGTTTTCTGTGGTTAGGTTTTAGTTGTGCTCCAGTGTTGATTGTCTGTTCCACCTCTGTCTGTGTCTGTATGTACCTGTGCTCCTCTCCTCTTGTTGCTGGTTCATTGTGTTGTCTTTGTTTGTTCATGTCTTTGTTCCTTATTCCTTTTTGAATTTTGAATTTGTTTTATTACCTTGGACTTTTGGTTTTTTCATCATTAAACCTTTTTTTTTTGCATTCCTACATTTTGAGTCCTCCATCATTTCACTTTGTGACACACAGACTCTCCACCTGTAAAAGAACATTCACACCAGGGGTCTCTAACCCGTTTTGATTGTAGAGCTATTTTCATTAAACAGAAGTGGCTGAAAACCACTTTCATAACACTATTGTGGTCCATGTAATAACAACAGCTGATCAAAGAGATTTATATTAAGAATATATATGGAATGACCCAAAAGTGACTCATTCAGGATCTTTTGTTACATTTTTCAACCCTTTGGGAGCTACCTGAAAGGAGATGGTGAGCTAGAGCCAGAACCACAGGTTTGAGACCC